GCGTATTTGGGCTAATTTTCTTTAAAGAGTCATTAAAATCACTAATTAGATTAGCTTCCCTCATATATTCTGTTAAAACCATGAGAGATATTAAAATAACAGTGTAATATATCTTTAGATAGAGATGTATAAATATGGCATACACGTACCTTGCACCTCAATATCCATCTTATTGTCAAAATTACATAATTTCTCATGAGAAGATCCTTCCATAATTTCTTCTCTGTGCTGAAAATTAAAACAAAAGACAAACATAAGAAGTAGCTAAAAAGACACAAAATTGGTTCTTACATAAGGCATATACATCTGAAACTTCGTTCTCCATGTTCATTCCGTACTTACCATTATTAATACTCTTCGGAACCACAAGAAACTTTGAGGGAGAAAGAGGAGTGTCAAGATTAATTGATCTCTTTCCAAGATTAGCCTTGACCCCAAAGTTCTTCGAGCTTGAAAGTCTGGATATAGAGGTTATTGATTTCTCTGGGGAATTTTGCTTCATGGAAGGATGGTGGGTATGCGTTGTACCATAGAGGAAATCACTGCCTCTAGCTAACATCAGAGTGTCAGACTCTATATCAGATGTTCTTGATATAAGTTCAGATGGAAACACGGCAACATGTTCATTAGGAACAAAACTATTACAGATGGAACGAGGTGAGCTTGTGACTAATACACTCTCCTCCTTATGAAAATCAGGTAACATAGAGAAACCATATTTGGCAGATAATAGCTTCTTCATCTCAAATAACTTCTTTTTTCTAACAGCAGTTCGGGCGGAACTTTCATAGTTCATAACAATTTCCTTTCCATGTGAAGTTTTAGTTTCGGCATGATCTCCTACAGTACTCCAATTTGTGAGTTGAACATTTCCATCTTCAGAAAGAGTTTCAGAACAGCCATCACAGCGCCACACTTCTGGGACGGGCCGAAGTATTTTTCGCATACAAAAGCTGGAAGTAATTAGAGAGCGTTAAACTGTAAGTAATCATAATATACAGAATAGGTGGTGACCAAGTAGCATGGACATAAATGAAAGGTAATGAATAGTTGTCCAAGCAATCTTTTACTCAATAGGAGTCCAAAACTGGAAAAGTTTTTAGTTGACTATGGTAATAACAGTGATATAAATGTAATTAAGGCAATGAGTAGGCACAGATAAAAAAGAATCAATTAATAAATGAGAAAGTTCAATAAGTAGGCACAGATAAAAAATAATCAATTAATTAATAAGAAAGTTTGATAGTACACAGTGCATATCATAGAATATATACATAAAAATGAATGTTTTCAGTTGATAGCTGTCAGACCATAGCACTAGATTCGTCGTCGTAAATAATGAATCATTTTTCCATTTAGAACAATAAATACCAGCTGGTTTCAAGAAGCATAGTTTAAATAGGTCATTCGACAAGGAAAAAAATATTTCAATATAAAAGGCACATACACATGCTCAGAAATTTCTCGGCAGATGTTACACGTAACCATGCAGTCTCTGGAGCCGGTACCACCACATGTCTGACAAACAATATTCTGCGCGTAAAAGAATGCAAATGTGATCCAAGTGCTACAACTATTAAAATAGAACATCCAACATATCGCTTTATGGAAAGATTGACAAACATTCACCTTGATTTTAGTTTATTGTCACAGTTAATTAGTTTACAGTTCTAAATTTTGGCAAAGCCAACATACGATAGATCCAGGTAGACAATCAAAGCATAAATAAAAAGCAAAGCTGAACTTAGATAAAAAAACAAATCAATACTTATTACATACAGTTCCCCTGATACCCATGACAATTTAAAATTTTTTTATTGAAGAAAGTTTGTGATGCATGACGATCATGGTCCATCGATTTGGTGAAATTAGGATTTGTCAGAAGCCTTCTAC